ATCGCGCTGGAGCCCGAGGCCGCCTCCATCTACTGCCGCAAACTGCGGCTGCACCAGCTCATCGAGCTCAGCGCCCGCCCCCCCTCCAACGGCCTGGAGCCCCCCCACATCGACTCCAGCTTCAGGCAGGGTGAGCACAGGGACCCCGGGGGGCTGGGGCAGCAGGGGGAGCGGGCAGGGGCACAGGGAGAGGACAGGGACCCAGGGAGTGGGCAGGGACCCAGGGAGTGGGCACAGATCCAGCTGCACATTCCAGGTTTGGAGGGTCCATCTGTTGTCATGACTGATCACTAGAGACCCCCCCATCCCCAGAGGCCCTCTCTCCTCTCTGGGATCCAGAACTGGCACCTCAAGCCCTTGCCAGAGTCTGATCCCCCTCTCAATCCCTCTTTTCCACTTTCCCATCTCCTTTTCCCTATCACTTCCCTTTTCTGGTACTTTATCAAATCCAGCAAAATCCCAGCCTGGGGATTCCCTCCCACAGCATCACCCAGGGATGGGGTGAATGAGGCTGTGAGGGGAGAACCCCGTGCCCAGGGGGCCTCTCCCCTCCCTGGCAGCCCCGGGAAGCCCCAAATTCCCTTTTCCCCCTCCCCAAATCCCCATGGCCAGGGCACATGAAGGCTGCTTTCCTGGGAAGCCCCCCAGCCGTGTGCCCCCCCTGCCACCCTGGGCCACCTCCAGGGAATGTCCCCCCCTCCCGGGTGGGAGCCTTGGGGTCCCCTCACTCCAGCCACAGAGCTGGGGCTTTACTGGGACAGCACCAGTTTGCCCAGTTGGGACCGGATGTGCCGTGGTCACAGCCTGGTCCCAGGTGGAAATTTGGGGTCCCCTCAGATTTATGGGGGTGCCTGAGCTGCTCCCAGGGTAAGGAATTGGTGTGCCCTGGCCATCCCGGCGTGCCAAAAATATCCCGGGACAACCGCACCTCCTCCGATGGGTCCCGGCCCTTCCGGGCGGCTTTGATGTCCCTGGGACTGGGGGAGGGGGCGCAGGAAACCCCACCCGGGCTGGGGGGCACGGGGGGTGGCATGGCGGGTGGGCACGGGGGGTGGGATCCCGGCAGGACACCGGGCAGGCCGGATCAGCCCCCCGCGTGGGGCCGGGCGGCGTGGGGATACCGACAGTGGGAGCGGCCACCAGCGCTCCCGGTACAGCCCCTCACGGGGCTCGGCAGGGATCCCACGGCAGGGGGGTGTTCCCGGGGGCACGGGGGTGCTCCCGGTCCCACTGCAGACCCCTGGCTCTGCTCGCAGCCCGGGAGCAGCTCCGGCGGTCCCGGCACAGCCGCACCTTCCTGGTGGAGTCGGGCGTGGGGGAGCTGTGGTCGGAGATGCAGGCAGGTATGAGGGGGACACGAGCGGGGACCCCCACGGTGCTGTCCCACCCTCGGAGCCACCCTGGGCAAGGGGACGGGGGGCTGGAGGTCCCCTCTGTGTCAGAGCCCCCACCAAGCACCCGAGGGTGCCCCTGCCAGGGGGGTGACACGGCTCCGATCTGGCCCTTGACCCCCCAGATGATGCCGGGGAGGGCGGGACCCCTCTGCCACCATCCCATCCCATCCCATCCCATCCCATCCCATCCCATCCCATCCCATCCCATCCCATCCCATCCCATCCCATCCCATCCCATCCCTTCGTCCCTCCGCCCTCCCAGCCCCTCCAAACTCCTCCAGCTGTTTTTGGGGAAAAAACACCCCCAAATCCACATATTTTGGTTCGAGCTGCGTTTTCCCGGGGAAGGGGCAGCCCTGCGTCCCTGTGGCCGCTCCCAGCCCAAGGGCGGGTGCTCCGAGGGGTCACCCCGGGGCTGGGGGGGACCAGGACCCCCACCCGGCCGCTGTGCCCCCCCGCAGGTGACAGGTACATCGTGGCGGACTGCGGCGGGGGGACGGTGGATTTGACCGTGCACCAGATCGAGAAGCCGCAGGGGACGCTGAAGGAGCTGTACAAAGCCTCGGGTGGGCTGAGGACCCCAAGCCCACCCCAAAAACCCCCCGGCACGCCCCGCCCGTCGCCGGGGGTCGTGTCTGGGGATGTGGCACCACCCGGTGGCGACGGCGAGAACTGCGGGGGGGACAGAGGGGACACGAGTGGGGACGGGGGGACAGAGGAGCTGGACTAGGAGGGGAGGAAGTGGGACAGGAGAGAGGATTGGGGGGTTCAGGTAATACAGGGGAGCTGGATTGGGGGGTTCAGGTAATACAGGGGAGCTGGATTGGGGGGTTCAGGTAGGACAAGGCACTGGGTTATGGGGACACAGAGGGACAGGGGTCTGGGGTGGAAGGGGATAAGGTGGGAGCAGGGTTCAGGTGGGACCAGGATCCTGGGTTATGGGGTGATGGGGGGCTGGGCTGGGGGGGCTCAGGGTGCTGGGGTGATGGGATCGAGTCCTGGGCAGGGGCTCCCCCGTGTCCCTCCACGCTGATCCCCTGCGGCAGAGCCCCGGTGGGACTGCGGGTTGGGGACTGCATGGAGAGTGGCCTGGAGTTGGCCAGGTGATGCTGGGGGGCTCTGGGGACATGGGGATGGGCCCCATGGGGATGGGGGAGACATGGGGACATGGAGATGGGGTACATGAGTGCCACGGGGCCACTGTCTGACTCAGCATCCGCCACCCTTTGTCCTCAGGGGGTCCCTACGGGGCCGTGGGGGTGGACCTGGCGTTCGAGAAGCTGCTGTGCCAGATCTTCGGCGAGGATTTCATCAGCACGTTCAAGGCGCGGCGCCCCGCGGCCTGGGTGGACCTGACGATCGCCTTCGAGGCGCGGAAACGCGCGGCGGCCCCGTCCCGCTCCAGCCCCCTCAACATCTCCCTGCCCTTCTCCTTCATCGACTTCTACCGCAAACACCGCGGCCACAACGTGGAGACCGCGCTCAGGAAGAGCAAGTGAGGGCGCGGGAGGGGCGGGGGGGACTCGGGGACCCCCCCGGGGGGGAAGAGGGACGGGGAGGGGCATGAACTGGGGAGGGGGAGAGGGAAAGAGCAGGGGGTGGGCTGGGGGGGACAAGGTGGGACAGGGGTGGTGGGCTGGAGGGTCTCAGGCGGAATGGGCTTCAGGTGGGATGGAGTGCTGGGCTGGGGGACTTCAGGTGGGAGAGGGAGTCAGGTAGGACAGGGATAGTGGGTTGGGGGATGACCAGGTGGGACCCCCCCGGTAGAGGCCCCCCCAGACCCTCTGTCCCTCCCCAGTGTGAACTTCGTGAAGTGGTCGTCCCAGGGGATGCTCCGGATGTCCCCCGAGGCCATGAATGAGCTCTTCCAGCCCACCATCACCCACATCATCCAGCACATCGGTGCGTCTGCGCCGGGATCCCTGTCCCGGGGAGCCTCCCTGATCCCGATCCTGGGACCCCCTCTGTCCCTGGGACCCCTCCTATCCTTGGAACCCCCTTGTCCCTGTGAGCTCTCCATCCCTGAAACCACCCCATCCCTGGAACCTCTCCCATCCCTGGGAACCCTCCCATCCCTGGGAACCCCTTCCACTCCTGGGACCCCCTGTCCCTGTGATCCCCTTCCATCCCTAGGACCCCCCATTTCTGGGAGCACCCCATCCCTGGGGCTTTCCCTGTCCCCACGAGCCCTCCATCCCCGGAACCTCTGCCCTCCCTGGAACCTCTCCCATCCCTGGCACCTCTCCCATCCCTGGCACCTCTCCCATCCCTGGCAGCCCCCAGTCCCCGGGACCCCCTCACCCCTCAGCTTCCCCAGGGCAGCCCCAAAGGGGCTCATGTCCCGACCCCTCTCCCCCCAGACTCGCTCCTGCAGAAGCCGGAGGTGCAGGGGGTCAAGTTCCTGTTCCTGGTGGGGGGCTTCGCCGAGTCTCCGGTGCTGCAGCGGGCGGTGCAGGCGGCCTTCGGCGCCTCGTGCCGCGTGGTGGTGCCGCAGGACGTGGGGCTCACCATCCTCAAGGGGGCCGTGCTCTTCGGCCTCGACCCCTCGGTGGTGCGGGTGCGCCGCTCGCCCCTCACCTACGGCGTGGGCGTCCTCAACAAGTTCGTGGAGGGGAAGCACCCGCGGGAGAAGCTGCTGGTCAAGGAGGGCAGGAACTGGTGCACCGACGTCTTCGAGAAGTTCGTGTCCGTGGACCAGTCGGTGGCGCTGGGGGAGGTGGTTCAGCGCAGCTACTGCCCCGCGCGGCCCGGCCAGCGCCGCACCCTCATCAACATCTACTGCAGCGCCCGCGACGACGTGCTCTACATCACCGACCCCGGCGTGCGCCACTGCGGCACCATCAGCCTCCAGCTGGACGGGGACGGCGGGGACGCCGCCGCGCGGGGCCGCAGGGAGATCCGCGCCAGCATGCAGTTCGGGGACACCGAGATCAAGGTCACCGCCGTGGACACCCGCACGGCCCGCACGGTGAGAGCCACCATCGACTTCCTGTCCAACTGAGAGCCCTGGCACTGCCATCATCACTGCCTGTCCAGCTGAGAGCCCTGGCACTGCCACCATCACTGCCTGTCCAGCTGAGACAGCCTGGCACTGCCACCATCACTGCCTGTCCAACTGAGACAGCCTGGCACTGCCACCATCGACTTCCTGTCCAACTGAGAGCCCTGGCACTGCCACCATCACTGCCTGTCCAGCTGAGACAGCCTGGCACTGCCACCATCACTGCCTGTCCAGCTGAGAGCCCTGGCACTGCCACCATCACTGCCTGTCCAACTGAGAGCCCTGGCACTGCCACCATCAACCAGGACCTGCCACCATCAACCTCTTCTCCAGCTGACCCCCTGTCATTGTGGGGACCCCTAGGACCTGCCACCATCAACTTCCTCCCCAGATGAGACTCCCTGTCGCTGTGGGGACCCTGAGGATCTGCCACCCACTTGGTCACTCCCGCTGAGACCCCCCCTCCCCCTCAGCAGGACCTGACCTGCTACCGCTGATTTCTCTCACATCTGAGACCCCCAGGAGCTGCCACCATCAACCTCCTCTCCAGCTGAGACCCCCACTGCTGTGGGGACCTTGGGGCCTGCCCAGCTGAGACCCCCTGTCATCAGGGGACACCCAGGACCTGCCACCCGCTCCGCCCTCTCCAGACGAGCCCCCCTCCCCAAGGACCTGCCACCCCCTCTGGACCCCCCAGCCCTGCTCTGGGACCCCCGTGGATGAAAAGGGCCGGACAGAGGGGACACTGATGGCCCTGGACCCCCTTGTGTCCCCCTCCCCTGGGACACCCCAAAAGTGCTGCCGGGGAACGTGGCACCGAGACCCTCTCCCTCCAGTGGGGTCTGATGGGGGGGGGTTGCATTTCCAACGGGGGGTGCAGGGTGCCCCAAACACAGGGAAGGACCACCATGGAGCCCCCCGGACACCACGGCCCCCCTTCCTGTGTTTATATATATATGTATATGTTACATGTCCCCAACACTCCCAGCCAGCAAAGGGACAGTGATGTGAGTGGGACATGACCCCCCACCCTCCCCCAGCCCCCCCTTAACTGGAATTTGCCCCCCACCCCACCCCGGACTGTTTGGGATCATCCCTGGACACCCCTCCCCACACCCCAGGGAGCACAAATCGCTGTCCCTGACTATCCCAGCCTGGGGGTGTCCCCCCACCCTGCACTCCCAGGGGGGTTAATGGAGGGGAACTGGGCTCCAGCCCCTTCCCAGTGGGATTTTATTATTTCCCAAGGTGGGCTTTTGTACTTTACCCCCCCTCATGCATCCCCAGGCATGTAAGATAACTCTATATTTATATATATATATATATATATATATATATATAGGCACATAAAGCCTCCTGTTGCTTTAGAAACTTCTCCTGGTCCTTGTACCACGAGGAAAAAAAAAAAAAAAAAGAAAAAGAAGGGAAAAAAGAGGGAAAAAAATAACAACAAGAGGCAGGAAAAGAGAGGAAAAGGGGGAAAAAAAGCCCAACGGGAGGAGAACGAGGAGGAGAACGAGGCGCTGGCAGCAACACGAGGACACGGACGGGGCCACGGAGCCACGGGGGCCACGGCTCCCCCACTCCTGCCCCAGCTCAGCTCCACATTCCACAGGCAAAATCCCTCCCTGGGGGGGAAAAAAATCCCACCCAGGAGGCAAAATTCCCGCCCCCCCCCCCCAGATCCCGCCGTCCTGGGGCGCTCCGGGCCGCGGGGAGGGGGAAGCGGCAGCAGCAGCAGCAGCAGCAGCAGCAGCTGGAGGCAGCAATCGGGGTCCCCCCCGGCCGTGGGGACCCCCCCGCGCTGTGGGGACCCCCCGACCCCGCGCTGGGGCCGGGGGGGCTCAGTCGAAGCCGTGCCAGTCGCTCTGCTCCGAGTCGTACTCCAGCTCGGCGCCCACGCAGCGCACCCCGTCCAGCAGCATCGGAGTCCCGTGGTGCCGGTCTGGGGACAAGGGACAGCCTTGGGGACAGCCCCGGGGACACCGCGGGGGCCGCTCCCCGCCGTTAAAGGGGGGAAACACCCCTTTTCGGGGCGGGGGCGGGGAGCTCTGGGGCTGGCAGGGGCTCGCCCTCCATCGCAGGGGACGCCCGTGGGCGGTGCCGGCAGCGGGGAGGGGACACTGTGTCACCTGTGCCCTGTCCCTGTGTCACTGCCAGGCGTGGGGGGGCACGGCGGGGTGGGGATGGCCGGGACACGGGGCGGGGGGACACGGGGAGCTGGCGGGGGGGACCCCAGTCCTGCCAGGGTCCCAACCCCGGGGATGTCGGGGTCACCCTGCACCCCTTCCCAGGGTCTCCTCAGCCCTCAGGGCGGGGACTTTTGGGGTGAAAATCACCCGGTTTAGGCACTTTCTCAAGGGCTGG